CACCGTGTGTCCGTTTCCTACTGTGTCCGATCGACACTGTGTCCGATTCATTCAACCTGCTGTGTCCGATTTATTCTGTGCGCAACTGGGACGCTCCCTAAAAGGTACGCCAAGGCCATGTCGAGCATTACTGGATAATGGATCGCAGTCTTCTTTTATCACAACTAATTGCGCCCTTGGTCTCAAGCAAAGGCCAACGCATATTCCAATATTAGGGTTGGGCGAAACGTCAACTCAAGCTCGCAGCTTAGCGAAGATAACGCTGCAGTCTAGGATAAATGAATATCAAGCGAAGCTCGACTGTTTAGTAATCGATCAGATAGCTCAAGCACTTCCAAACAATCATCTAAATTTCGGAGAGTTGCAAATTCCGAATGGCATAACGTTAGCAGATCCTAAATTTAATCAATCATCAAACATAGATCTGCTGCTGGGAGCAGAGATATTTTTGGACCTTTTGTGCATCGGGAAGATTAGACTTGTGGAAGATCAGCCAGTTTGGCAGAAGACACTGTTCGGATGGATTGTTTCGGGCAGTTTCATGACGAGAAATAAGCCTGCGAAGGGCACAAGGTGCAATCTAGCTCTTGATGCTCAACTTCACGAAAGCATGGCACGCTTTTGGCAGCTAGAGCATAACATTCGATAAAATACACGAACTCCGGAGGAACGTTATTGCGAGAAGCATTATGCGAGTACATACAAGTGCAACAAACAGGGTCGATTTATTGTGACTCTACCAACAAGGAACGAGCAGATCCAAAAATTAGGAGATTCCTTCGAAATCGCAGTACAACAATTCAAGAGATTGGAACGTCAGTTAGAACGAAATCCTAGAATGAAGAAGGAATACAATGAATTCATGAAAGAGTATCTACAATTGGGTCACATGAGGGAGATTTCACAGGACAGTGCGTCGAAAAATGTAAGGCCACACTGTTATTTACCTCACTATTGTGTAATAAAAGAAGGAAGCGTTACAACACATTTGAGAGTCGTATTCAACGCATCAAGCAAGACGACGACCGGCATATCTTTGAACGACGCCTTGATGGCGGGTCCAGTTGTTCAGCCAGATGTATTCTACATTCTTCTAACATTACGTATTTTCATAGTGGTCTTGATTGCAGACATTGCCAAGATGTATAGGCAAATATTGATCAACGAGTCTCAAGTGCCTTTGCAGCGGATTGTCTGGCGTGAACATCCTAACGAAGAGCTCAAGATATTCGAATTATTAACGCTAACATACGGCACAGTTCCGGCTTCATATCTAGCTACCCAAACGATCCTGCAGTTGGCCAAATTGCTGGCAGATCGTTATCCTAAGGGAGCGCTGATGGTGCTGAAGAGGTTCTACATGGATAACTTCGCCGGGGGCGCGAACAACAAAGAAGAAGCAAGAATTGTTCGAGATGAGGTAATGAATCTACTTCGTGAAGACGGATTCATTCTGCGAATGTGAGTCAAATGATTAAAACGTACTGTCTGACATGGCAACATCATCGATATCCAATTACATGCTAGAATTAGACAAAGATGGTACGACTAAAACTCTCGGAGTTAAATGGAATCCTACAGAGGACGTGTTCCAATATGAAATTAACGTGGATTCGTCAAGAGGGTATACGAAGAGTACCATGCTATCGGCCATCGCTTCCATCTTCGATCCGCTGGGCTTCTTGGCGCCGGTGGTAATAACCGCGAAGATTATGATCCAAAAGCTGTGGAAACTAAAAATTGGATGGGACGAGTCGTTGCCATCTGACATCTATACAGAATGGTCAGACTACGTTATGAAGATGCAAGAGCTGAACGGTTTCAAAATACAGCGGGCGGTCATCAGCGAGGACGCCGTGGAATTCGAATTACACGGCTTCTGCAACGCTAGCGAACTCGCATACGGAGCCTGCGTTTACCTGCGTAGCCGTGATGCACAAGGAAATTGGTCCGCTCAATTGTTGTGTGCTAAATCGCGTGTCGCGCCTGTCAAGACAATATCAATCCCAAGAGCAGAGTTATGTGGCGCTCAGCTGCTCGCACAGCTGATAGCCAGAGTCGAGAGCGCTTTAGAAATAAAGATTGCAAAAAAATGCTACAAGACCGATTCGCGTATCGTGCTATATTGGATCCAGGCGACGAATAAAAAATTACCAGTCTTTGTCGCACATAAAATTGGAGAGATTCAGGAATTAACCGCCATTGAAGATTGGTACTACGTAGGAACGAAGAGTAATCCCGCCGACTTAGTATCGCGTGGCGCTACTCCGTAAGATTTGATGGATTCTCAGCTATGGTGGAACGGACCGCTATGGCTCCAATACGACAAAATCACGACGCATCCTTTAACAACGTTGGAAGACAATGAGGAACCATTAGGCGAAGATGGGGAAGACAGCGTGATAGTAATGCCATTGCAAACGGAGAATGATATATTCGGCAAGTTCTCAACGCTCAATAAGCTGATTCGTGTTACAGCTACCTGTATCCGCTTTGCACTCATATGCCGAAAGGAAGTAGAGCGAGGTAGGTCGGAACCCCTAAGTGTCGATGAACTGGAACACGCGCGAAGATGTTTGATCAAGATAGACCAACGAGCTGCATTCTCAAAAGAGTTAGAGGCGAACGCATCCCTAACAAAAGCATTACTAAACATATGAGTCCGATTTTGGACGATCAAGGTATCTTACGCGTGGGTGGCAGGCTACAAAATTCGAAGCTACAAGAGGGCGCAAAGCATCCAGTCTTACTACCTCATCGCTCTAGGTTTACAGAACTAGTCATCGAACACGAGCATAGAAAAATGTTACATGCAGGAGCGAATTCAACTCTTGCTGCTGTTAGGTTGGAGTACTGGCCGCTCAAGGCGCGCGGTACAATTAAGCGATTAGTCCGTGGTTGCATCACCTGTTTTAAATCGAAACCTCAAATTCCGGAACAGATTATGGGCAACCTACCGGCACACCGTGTGACGCCGTCCCGTCCATTTGAGAACACAGGCGTGGACTTCTGCGGGCCTATATACGTTCGGGAAGGAAGAGGAAAAGGCAGGAAAAATATCAAGGCCTACGTAGCAGTGTTTGTCTGCATGGCAACAAAAGCTGTGCATTTAGAAGTAGTATCGGATTTGACGACGGAGGCGTTTCTGAACGCTTTCAAGAGATTCATCGGCCGCAGAGGAAGACCGTCTGATGTATTCTCGGACAACGGAACCAACTTTGTTGGAGCTAACCGTGAGCTGGAGGAGCTTCGAGATCTTTTAAACCGAGAGGAGGAGCAGAAGAAGTTAATAGATTACACCGCAACGGAGAAAATCAAATGGCATTTTATACCCTCTCGAGCTCCACATTTCGGCGACCTATGGGAGGCGACGGTCAAATCCTTCAAGAATCATTTTTATAAGGTGGCTTCAGACGCAGCCATGACATTCGAGGAGGCATCTACGCTGGTGATTCAGATTGAAGCTATTCTAAACTCGAGACCAATAGCCGCTCTTTCTTCAGATCCGAACGATCTGAGTTACCTGACAGCCGGTCATTTTATTATTGGGAGTTCGTTAATCTCTTATCCCGAACCGAACTTGGCTCATTTTACAAAAAATTGACTCTCGAAATGGCAGCTGCTAGAACAAATTCGTCAACACTTCTGGAATAGATGATCATCCGAGTATCTTCTTCAACTTCAAGGGCGTTCTAAGTGGTACAAGAACAACGATGCGCAATTCCAAATCGGGCAGTTGATTCTGTGCAAAGAGGATGGGCTGCCACCTTTGAAATGGGTGCTGGGACGCATCCAGAAAGTCTGTCCCGGGAGCGATGGAATAGCCGAACAGCCGTGATAAAAACGGCCAAGGGGGCCTTCAAGAGGCCAGCGACGAAACTTGCTATTCTCCCATTAGAGGACAATTTAAACAACGTGTTAACATAATTTAGTTTTATTCGTTTTCTTTATTTGCTGACGCATTAAAAGTAATATATCTATATTTTTGTTCGTACATCTAATATGTTGAAGTTTCAATGGTTTAACGATTATAGTTATTAAATCATACAGTTATTTATTTCAAGAATTGTTCAGATCTTATGTTATGTACTAAAGTTTTCTTTATTTTAGCAGTATTAGTTTTGACAACCAAAGTCGTCAAGGCGCGCGGCATGTTTACGTATGGTGAGAGATTTTTGAATAGGCATATAAAGTTAGGGAAATTCGATTAGTAGGAAATACTTCCGGTTAGCAGGAGACATTTCCGGCCACCTGATGGCGTTGCGAGACGTCTTGAGAATAGTCAGTATTTCGGTAGATGCGCAGTTGTACAGATCGGTTGTTCACAATAAAACATTCGTATTCTCTAAACCGTGTCTATCAGTGATTCAATCCTATCAATACGTGCCTAGCACCGGTCCTTACTTGAGGACACAACAGAAGCTGTGCTTCTTGATACTAAGCTGCATTGCGGAGGACCAATATGCAAACAGTTTAATGCACGACGCGAATCTGGCATTTAGAGTTCAGCTACATAGAGTAGGCATCATAGAAAGTTGCAGGATAAAGGCTATTCTACAATTGCGTAAACGTAGGGTTGTAGGAGTAAGAGTAAGAAATTAACCAATCACAGTCGAATTTGAGGAGAATAATCGACTGTGGATTGGTCAATTTCTTACTCCTACTCTTACAACCCTACGTTTACGCAATTGTAGAATAGCCTTAAGGCAGCGCCGGCTCAACCGCTTGCAGCTACGTTACTCAGTATCTTTTCAATATATGTTTCAGGAGTTCGTGTTCCTTATGTTCTCTCGAAATATAATAGAAATCAAATAAGGACAGAGTTCCACTAGTCGAAGCATTTGCAGCTTACAGCTTATAAAATATTTCTTATAAAATGTAAATGGTTGTCTAAATTTCGAGACGAGTTATAATAAATTAAAGAACGTTTTAAATGCTCGTTTTTCATTATGTTACTTGAAATGATTGTTATCTATATTGTTTCGTTATAGATCTGCTTGTCGAGTTTGTGAGATTATATATAATAAAGAAATTTCCGCTTGAGTTATATCATCAATGTATCTCATCAATGTATCGGCGTAGTTATTTTTTTATTTTTTAATGCAATAGGATTTTTTTACTAT